GTCTTCAAAATAAGGGTGCGTCTTATACACAGGTGTGTCTCATATTCCGAAAAATACGGTAACTGTCGTAGCAATCAAATGAATCAAATAACTCTTTGATTAATATCTTTGACAGAATCGTGAAAAAATGAATAATAAAACTCCAAGGGTAGCAAGTGGTAAGACGAAATGTCGATGGTCATCAATTTAACATGTGTTTGCATTAGGCCTATCATATTAGGAATGTCGATGATCATCAATTTAACATGTGTTTGCATTAGGCCTATCATATTAGGAATGTCGATGATCATCAATTTAACATGTGTTTGCATTAGGCCTATCATATTAGGAATGTCGATGATCATCAATTTAACATGTGTTTGTATTAGGCCTATCATATTTAGATTCTGGACCATACGCTGCATAATTACTGCAACTTTCAAACAGAAAGGAAACTTGTAATTCTACATTCGTGCTTTTGTTTTTTGGAAAACAAGTCACTAGAACAGTACAGTAACTATTTCACTTGTAAAATAAAATTAGTAACCAACAGAATTGACTTTCCCCAGTTGTGGAAGTCCTCTATCATGTAAAATGGTTGTGTAATAGTTTAAAACATCTCATTATCTACCACACACACACAATACCTTCTTTCGTCTGTCGCTCGATCGTGTCAGGAATGCTGCTCGAAAGACTTGTTTTAAAACCAAATTTCTTGAATGTAGCCTGAGGGCGCTGGATGCACCTGTACAAAGGAACTCTGAACAGCCGCTAGGAGTAAGTTGAAAACTGGTCCAACAACTGAAGGAGACCTTCGACTTGTTAAAGGATATGGATAGTACAGTCACGTTTCAATCCCCCACAGAAGCTATCTTGTACTATGCTGTTTATGTAGCAGCCTCCGTCTGTCCTCGCTATATAGATACAGAGTTTTTAAGTTAGAACATCAGCTACTATAACACGTTGTTGCTAACTAAAAACCAAAACGAAATGAAGAATCAGAGGTTTTACCATTGTGCTTCGTGGTGATAACCTTCAATGCTGAAGCATAATTTATGCTAATTCTAACCCCAATAATCTGCGTATAAAGTATTCATGATTTTCTGAAGATATTTAAATGAATATATTGCAACAAATATTTTTAAAAGTTCGCAATTCCTTTAGAAAAACATATCGGCATTTAAAATTTTCCTACGAATTAAAGTTGGCTATTTATATTTTAATAATTATATTCCCATTAGCCTAGCTTTCAGTCTTCCTCTGGTCCCATAACTTGTTTTACATCACCTTCTTAATACTTTACACGTAAGTTAAACAATATCTTAATCATTGGATACTAGGACGTTAACAGGGACATTACCCTAGCGGTGCGTTATTCACTTAATTCTGCAAAGACTCACTAATTCTTTCATTGTTTTACTTAACCCCTAGTGATTTTAATCGACTTGCTACAATTCATTGCCCCTAGTGGCTCAGCGGCAAGTCTCATAGCTTACAACCCTAAATTTCGGGTTTCGATGTCTGCGGTGGGCAGATCACAGATAGCTTTGTGTTTAATAACAAACAGAAAGGTTGAAGTTTTACTGAAAGTTTCTCAAGTGATATCGGGTTTACTACGTCATTCAAACAGTACAACAAACAATGGCTCCAACTGGCCGAACTGTTGTTATAAATTACAATTAAAGAATAATAAGAAAACACACTTTACACTAAAACAATATCGCGCAGACTTAGGCCTATGGCAGCGTAGCGCAAGAGAAGTAAGTGGTTAGGACTGACACACTTATACTAAAACAATATCGCGCAGATTTAGGCCTATGGGACCGTAGTGCAAGAGAAGTATGTGGCTAGGACTAACACACTTTATACTAAAACAATATCGCGCAGATTTAGGCCTATGAGACCGTAGCGCAAGAGAAGTAAGTGGCTAGGACTAACACATTTTATACTAAAAAAATATCGCGCAGATTTAGGCCTATGGAACCGTAGTGCAAGAGAAGTATGTGGCTAGAACTAACACACTTTATACTAAAACGATATCAGGCAGATTTAAGCTTACGGGACCATAGTGCAAGAGAAGGAAGTGACTAGGACTATTAGTTTAAGTAAGAACGTTTTGATAGTTTTTCTAAGGCTAACCAGTTTATAATTTCTCTCTTTTGAGCTGATTATAAACAATATCAGGTGGATTTACTTGTTTTTTTTATGAGTTCAAAGGATCCAGTTTTAAACGTGTGTTTACATCGTTTTCAATTAGACTTAATTTCTCAAATACTTTTGCTATTTTCATAACTGCAAAGTAAATGTACATATTATTATTCTTAACTTCGTTTAACGCAAACTGGAGTTTATTATGAGACATTTCGATAAACGTAAAATAAATTCACGACTTATATCTTCAGAATGTAACTTTATTAGCTCAATATTTCGCTATTCGTCAGGAGCTATTGATATATTGAACTTGTATGATATCGATAGCTCCTGACGAAACTGTAATAGCGAAATACTGAGCTAATAAAGTTACATTCTGGAGATATGCGTCGTGATTTTATTTACATTTAAATGTACATATTGATAGAACTACATATAATATAGCGATTGAAGATTATGAGAAGATGAAACGTACAGCACTTGTGTTTTATAAATGCCTAAAAAGTATAAAATAAGGAGTCGTGAGTTACTCTTAAACGAAACTAATACTTCGATATATATGTTTGAATGGATGGCGTTATTTTCAGCAACAGGTTAATGTTATACATAATGTTCTTATGTAACTTGTTTTTAAAAAATTAGTCAACTTATTGCATATTTTTTAAAATTAAAATGTTAAAAATTACTTTGTGTCTCGGTGCTCTTACAGCGCCATCTCAGTGATGGTCTGTAAGATCACCCGAACAAGTAGTGTTATATGTCGGGGTAGGATACGTAATTTGAGCGTAACCTTGAAGTGTTACAGAAAAATGATGGGTACGTTACGTGGCACGAGGTTATTACGTCCATTCAGATCCAGGTCGCGTCCCCCTTTCTGTCCGAACGTGATATATACAGAATAAGGAATTGTGTTTGTTCTTCGTGAGGCTAGTCTTCAACCTCAATGGTTTCTACAGGCAGTTGAGTACTTCGAAATCTGTTCCAGCCCCTTTCTCACACTTCCCTAATTCCACATTTACTCTCTGGTCAGCTTTCTTAGTGATTGGCTATTTTTGCCACCTGAATAGGCGCGAGCCAGTATTAGAATTTGACAACACTTGTAGAGCATATTAAATTAGACACAAGTAAAATGACCAATGAGAAAGAAGCCGATTATTTTCCGTAGCTGTGCTTTGATTGCCTCCAGGGTATAACAACATTATCTCTCACTGATAGGCTTTGTTGAACTTTGATGACACCGTAGCCATATACGGGAAAGTTGCCATGACAACGCAAGTACCGACTATTATGCGGTAATTCACGACCTGGGAAGTCCGTCCAGCTGCTGAAGCGCGAGACTCCGGCCCAAGTTCACGTGCAGTTCCTCCCTTCCTGGAATGCAGCTGATGTGAAGCTCCATTTGTTCGTCTGCTCTGGCTCTGAGAGGACACTACGGTATACCGGCAGTGAGAAGTCGTGTGAGCTAAGCCGTACACTTCACTCTACCCGTCCCAGCGTGCTTCTATGGGGAAATAAACCGAACAGAAACTAGGATTTATTTTCCCGAGGATTAAGCGTGCGTCATCTGTTATGGCATTGGCAGTAGCTTCTTGGAGAGACCCGCCACCAAACGACGGATCTACGGTTACCGAAACCGACTTAGCTCCACATACTCCAACGGCAGTCTTGAACGGACCCCCTCCACCTAATACAACGTCTCAGAATGCAGACAAAAACCTTCAGCACTTGGAATGTGTGGTCTGTGGGGATAAGAGCAGTGGTAAACACTACGGTCAGTTTACGTGCGAGGGTTGCAAGTCCTTCTTTAAGAGAAGTGTCAGGCGAAACCTGACCTACACCTGTCGCGGAAACAGGAACTGCCCGGTGGATCAACATCACCGTAACCAGTGCCAGTACTGCCGGCTCAAGAAGTGTCTGAAGATGGGCATGCGTAGGGAGGGTAGGTTCCCAGGTTAGCTTGCTTTTCCCTAACTCTAACACCACGCCCTTGGTCAGTTGTGATATAATTAAGGACAACCTGAATGGCCTAGGGCGCACATGTATGCCAAGTAACGAGTAACCTACGTAACTAACAGGGTTTGAACTCTAGACAATAACTTGAATAACGTAAGCGGTAACGCTATTTTCAGGTGGTCACTTCTAACACAGATATGTGTATATAGGCTTAAGATTACAGTTATAAAGCTTAAACGAATGTTTGTATCTCCATGCAGACTTGCAGTATCCTGCGTGTCGTCATTAAGTTAAGTTAGTGGAACATACGCTTTCGGATACGGAGGCAAAACGTTTAGGCTTAATATTACAGTTATAAAGTTTCAAAGGATGTGTGTGTCTCTTCGCAGACGTTAGCAATAAAAACGTAACACTTAAAAATACGTTAATATTTGCAACTAACGAACAACTAGAATTGATTAAAATTATTAAGTATTTCTAGTTAATTATTCATTTTTATCTTGTTTGCTCTATTGGTTTGCAGACGCGATATGATGGATGTTGTTTTATGTGGAAAATGGAAAACAACAGTTAAAATTACATTGAATTATACTAGAAGTTCTGAACAACAATACGTAATGTTTATTTTATTATAAATTAGAGTTATGCATGTAAGCTACAATATGTAACGTTTATTTTATTATAAATTAGGGTTATCCATGTAAGCTACAATACGTAACGTTTATTTTATTATAAATTAGGGTTAGCTTACATGGATAA